TCACTCTACCGGGAGCTGAAAAAGGCATCAAATATTACATTGAACCAAATCTCGAAATGCTAACTGTCCCAAGTGTTTGGCAAGATGCTGCAACTCAGGTACTCACTCATTCATTTACCTATCCATATAAATCAATTTCAAATTAAATAACAACTTCAAGTATAAATATTAAGTTGACAAAGTTGAAATCATATTATTGAATTATTAATTTTATTTGAAATTAAATTTAATATTGATTCCAGCGGGCAGTGAAGCTAATAGTATCGCTTTTCCCTTTATTGCTATCATTTGTATTTTTTCATTTTTGAATAAAATTGAATGACTGTAACTATTACTGTAAATTTCATTGTAAATAAATTTCATTGTCTTCTAAAACCACCGTAATTATTGTTTTTTTTTTTAAATAAAATTTAATAAAAAGTTATTGCAAAAAGAAAATATGATCAAATTTAGGTTTTCTTTTCATTGGGCCCAGGATTTGGTGTTTTAATGGCCTATTCATCATATAATGAATTTTACAACAATGTTTATCAGTAAGTTTCGAGTTACAAGAGTACTAATTCACTATTACAATTAATTATAGGAGCAGAAAATTAATTTCAAGACGTTGTTAATTTATCGAAATCAATAATTAAAATTATAATGTATGAGAATTGATACAATCACAACAAATCAATTAAATGCTAGGTAATTATTTAATTGAGATATCTAAAATTTAATAGAATTATAATTAATAATTAGAAAATGCAACAAATGTATGTTTCACTTAAGGTAAATTGCTATGTAGTGATAAATTATTTTGATTGAATTAATTGAAATGAATTTAACAGAAATACTAACAAAAATGTTTCATTAATTTGTAGCTTAATTTCCTCTTTTTTTCTTCCATTTTTTTTTTCTGGAAAATATTTGTTAATAAATTGAATTAATTTTCTTCCAATTAAATTACATTGCTTTTTCATTTCTCCTTCATACTACAATTTTCGATGGAAACAAAACGAAAATTTTAAGCTGTTCGATCATACTATTTTTGTTAGGATAGTTTAAAATTAATGCAATGAAATATATTGAAATTGATATTTAATTTAACTAATAGGATTTAGCAAATTTTAGTGATGCGTTAATAACAAGTGCAATTAATTGCGCGACAAGTTTTCTTTCTGGTTTTGTCATCTTTTCGGTAAATTTCCATTTTTCATTTTTTTTGTTTTGTTTTGTCATTTTTATTGACTTAATTACTAACTTTTTTTTTTTTTTTTTTTTGGAATTTAACTTTATTATTTGATCACATTTTTTAAACAAACATACTTTCCGCATTTTCATGTACTTGGCTACATGTCATGTAAAAGTGGTAAACCAATACAAGAAGTGGCTCAGGTAGGACTGTTTTTTGTGCTAAATTTTATTTCACCATTTCCCAAATATTTCGCTATCATAGTAAAATTGATAAATATGTTATTGCTAATTAATTTGTTTTTTTTTAACTTTCATATTTACTTCCAAAATTATTTCCTCTATTTATTTTTATTACTAATATATAATAATATCTAATCAATTTTATCGATTCATTAGTTTTAGGATGAATGATTTGATTTCGTTATTTAATTCGAGAATTCGAATCTATTGTCATTGAGATAGATGATTTGAGCTTTTTTGTTTTTCAGATAAGCAATTTCAGGAAGGTCCCGGACTTGTCTTTGTTGTTTATCCGGAAGCGTTAGCAACAATGCCAGGTGCATCAGTATTTTCCGTAATTTTTTTCCTGATGCTACTTACACTTGGATTAGACAGCTCGGTAAGTAAGTTAAACTTTTATTTTTTTTTTTTTGCCTTCTTTTTTGATAAATTTTTGAAAAATTTTTGGAACGGTATGGGAGAAATATATGATGAGTTAAATAATATTTGAAATATATGAAGGTATATTTTAAATTTTATTTGATTTTTACTTTTTAATTCTAGCATTTAACATAGTTTTTTGTTTTTATTTTTGATTTAATGATAATAGTGATGGGCTAAAAGATGTGAAAAATAGCGCAAAATAGGAATATATTAGCTTAATAATATCAAATATTGAAAGATGAAATTATTGATTGACAAGTTCAATTTGCAATTTGTTCAAAAAATGAAATTGTAAATTAGCAAATTTAGTTTGGTGGTTCTGAAGCAATAATTACCGCATTAGGCGATGAATTTCCACTGTTAAATCGTCGGCGAGAATATTTTGTCGCCATATTGTTTGCTTTTTATATGTTCATTGGAATTGGTATATGTACTGAGGTTATCTTCATTTATCATTTGGCATATTTTTATGATTCATATCATTCATAACGAGATTTCTTATCAATTATCATTGTCACACTACTAATGACTAATTACAATTATCATGATCAAATATATAATACTGAACTGACATAATTAAATGGAGATATATTAGTTTCCTACTCAACAAATGATAATAAAATATAATTAATTCATTTTTAATTTTTTCATTGTAATTTAGCAAGTAATAAATTTATTATTTTGATAAAATTATTAAACAATTTAATGACTAATCGGAATTCAATATGATTTATTTAGGGTGGTATTCTAATAATGGAATGGTTAATAGTTTATGGTACTTCATGGAATCTATTAATTGCGGTATTCTGTGAAACAATCGTCATTTCATTCATTTATGGTCATACATATTTAAATACATCATATTTTATATACTATAAATTTTACATCAAATTTTACACACCATAAATTTTACATCAAATTTTATATACCATAAATAATTCAATACTAATGACCGTGGCGATCATTTCTGTAATTTTGGATCGCAACGGTCATTGCTATAATTTCATAGCAATGATGAGATAGTTATTTCAATATTTTTTAAGCAAAAAAAGAAATTAACCAATCAATATTTTCTAAATTTATTAATATAACAAACAAATTACAGTTGAATATATTTAAACGATTGGTATCATTAATTTTATTCTAAATAATTTAATCATATTTGATATGTTAATACTAAATATTATCCATTAAATCGTTAGTCATTAGCATCAAAATTAAACTTTTTTTGACTTATTCTTATATTTGATGCAACAATTTAACGTCTCAATAATAAATTACCAAATCCTATCCAATTATTATTTTCAGGAATAAACAATTTTGTGCAAAATTTAAAAGAAATGTTAGGCTTCGAACCAGGATACTATTGGCGTTTGTGTTGGACCATTGGTGCACCAATTTTTTTATTGGTTAAAAATTTTTGCAATTTATTAATTTGAATTTTTAATGAAGCAAATTAATTTTCAATATGTTGCATCATTTTCTTTGATAAAATAATTCCTAAGTGTTATAATTTTTAATCGTTAATTGTATTAGTTAATATTTTAATTTCAGTGTACCATAATTAGTTGTTTCGCTAATTATGAACCATTGAAGTATCAAGACTTTGTTTATCCACAAATGGCTAATATTATTGGCATATTATTTTCGCTCTCGACTATATCGGTAATTTTCATCGTCGGCATTTATAAGCTTTTTACCGCGAAGGGTGATACGTTCTCTATGGTATGTATTTCGTCAGATCAATTCATCCATATCACTTATTGATTTTATTAAATAATAAATAAAAACAAATGGATATATCATATATTTTTGGTAGTTGATTAAATATACCTCATTAAGAACGTTTTATAAAATGAATTTTTTGAAATCACACATTAAAATATCATCACTTTTATCTGCGAATTTCCAAACAAGTAAAATGAAAGTATATTTTTTGCAAACAGATTATATAAGTTTTTGAATAAGAAAAAAAGGACAAACGAAAATGAAATAATCAATTTTGATATGAAATGTAGAAATTGATTCATATACAGATCTGTTATAATTCATAATGAAAATTTAACGCCATACATATTATTTTAGAAATTAAAAGCAGTTTTAATGCCTCATCGACAGAATCACATTGGCAGCAACGAAATGACTGGATCGATGTCAAATGATGAAATTAATTTATAATGCATCTATTTAATCGTAAGAAAATATACTTTCGTAGAATGCAGTAACATAAACTTGGTTTCAATAGCAAAAAAAGAATTTTTTTTTAAATTTCAATAAATTGATATACATTTTCTAATTTGTAACTAAATTATATCAACAACTATAAAATGAAAGGTGTTATCGAATATTTAAGAAAATTGGTCGTTCCAAAAGTTCATTAATAGTTTTATGGTAATTCGTCAATTTTCTTCATTATCAATACTAAATTGAAATTTGAAAATGTATGTCCCCGATTTTCCACCAAATTTCTGTTGAAAAATATATGACAGTAAGATCAGTTGTTTCCACCACTATTTCACTATCACATATTAGCAGTCAATTACCTTCCAGATATTGACGTCCATTTAGAAGTGTAATAAGAGACCAAAAACTGCTCAGTGGAAAATTGATAATTGCCGATTTCCATAAAGAGATTGACGGAAATACGAATTAAACAAGCACATCCCCAGAAATGAATGAAATAGTCTGAAACGAATCTAGATATCACGAAATGAAATAACCTGAACCGAACCGGTATATGAGGAAAGTAAAGGAATCCCGAAAAGTTGCAGCTCAGGTCAAGGAACAAAAGGATGCTTCACATTACATTACACTGTCAACCGCACCGCGGAGGCACATTTATATGTACTAAAACACCTAAATGAATCACATTTATTTCAACGAAATAGCTTTTAAAGATTAGAAAAGAATTGAAAAAATTGAAAGCAAAGATTCTCTAACCAATTAAAATTTTTAAAATAGGCTTCCAGAAATATTTTGAGGAAGAATAACTAAAAAAAGCAATATAAGATAAGGAAAACATATAGAACAGAGCAAAAAGAAAAAATACAAATTCATCCATATAACCTTGCGCCACTACATGCAAACTTGGAAGTGAAAATCGGAATTCGAATTTCAGAAACAAAAAAATAAGACAGATCAACGAGAACAACTTACTCGCAAATCTCAGTAAGTTAAAGTTAAAATGAGACTAAGCTAGTTCAGTCCTGCCTTAAGTCCGCGTGTTTCTAATAAACTGAAGTGTTATAAGTGTCAAAGCAAAATTACTTACAAAACGGTTCAATCCATAAAACAAATAATATGTCCAAAATCAAAAACAAAATAAAACAAATAGAACAAATTATCAATCGACATCCATTCCAAGCTCATTTACATCGTTAGCATCAGTTTTCGGTGCCTGATCAGAAGGTGGATTCTCCGCTTTTTGACCTTCACTTCCTTTTTCTTGTTCCTTTGTAGCCTCCGCTTTTGCTGGCGATGGCTTTGGTTTATTTAATATCGGTAAAATAATACTTTCAAATTTCTGAAAAAAATAGAAAACTAGATGTAAAAACTGGAGATGGCATCGCTTTTTAAAAATATATAATAAAAAATATATTTTAGACGAATTTTTAACTTATTGTCATCTCTAATCCAATATTTCAACACTTGAATATTTCCAAATATCGTTCAAAAGACATCGACATGAACAAATCCATTCTTTTTACCTGCTGTTCATCCTTTATCTGATAAACAAAAACGATTGGGGGTTCAGTTTTCTTGCGCATTTCCTGACGACTTCTTTGATCATCCACCCATTTTTTTTTCTCTTCCACTGCAGATATCACCTATAAAATTAAGCCATTTACTTCAGGTTTTCAGAAATTTCGATAGCGTTTCTCTCTAAGATTACAGATCAAAGCAATAAAATGGAAGAAAATGCACCTTTTCCATGTCACTTGATCCAAGATGTGCATATTTCTCACTTCCTTTTGTGTACTCATCGTAAGCCTTACGCGCTCTCTAAAATTTTTGATTTTAAAATACACAAAAATAAATAAAAAAAATCCAGTTTTATAAATGTAGTTGCAATTCTAAATTCTTTTCTCCTTCAAACAATTCGTATATCCCATCAAATAAAAAAGATACAATAATAGCTCGATCAAATTCATCGAAAGCATTCTTTCGATTTTCATATTCATGATGCCGTTCCTGAACAGGGTCACCCAGTTTCTTCAGCTCAGACATCTTGGTGTCGTATATTTTCTTTTCGACATCTTCTCCCTCGTCGTAGAGCCAGTTTTCTGTTCTGGTTAGTAATTCTCGCAATTTCTCGGCATCCTACAACAAATACAAAAATGTCATCACATTTATCAATCACAAATTCTCATTTTTTCCAGTTAACAAATGAAGTATTTCACATTGTGAATGATGCTCTGTTGCATTTCAGCAAAACTGCATCCACAACAAAAAAAGAAAGCCTATTAAATTTCCCACTGGGAAAATGGTCAAAAGATAGTGGTGTAGGATAACTGGAAGCTGAACATTTACTCAAACAACTTCCAGCTGTCTTACACCGATGTATCACTCGATCTAAATAACATTACGGATCGAGAGTCCGAGGATATTTCCATAATTTATTGACCGAAAAGAGAAACTAACATCATCTGAAATAAATTCTGCGAAGACATCTGATAATTTATCTCGCATATAATACACATATTCTTCAACAGCATTTTTTGCATCTGCTTTTTCTTTTTCCACTCGATCTTTTCCTTGCATTTCCTTCTTAAAAATTAATATTCGCATTAAAATGTACTAAGTTGATCAATAGCAACTCATGCATTCTTTGTTAATGAATAGATGATGAACTTACTTTTCCTACTTTTCCAGTTACTTATTGTAAACTTGCTAGTGGAAATCCTCAAAATTTTGACTGCTTTTGCTAAAAATATTAAGAAATTATGCAGTTTTTTCCTAATATATCAAAAAAATATAATCGTTTACCTATTCAATGAAACTTTTTGTTCCTTTTCTATAGTATGTTATCCGTATACCAATGCTATTTTACAATATTTCTTTATGTATCTGTCCATATATTTATAATGTCTGCTGCCCCTCTTCTGACTTTAAGTCCCAGATGTATCATAATTGTGTTTTACGTTTTGTACATTGTGAATAAATAAAATTTCATCCCGTACGTTATACAACTAACCTCAAATTGTATTAACTGCGGTTCGTTGGCAATAATATATGGGACATGTTCTTCAACCGGTAAATCCACTGTAATTGTCTTAGTTTTCGGTCCATTACTATTCAGCAATTTTTGATCCTCAGCAGCAGGTATGACATTATTAGTTGCTGTATCTGTTTTTTCTTCCTTATCTTGATTTCCTTTAGTATCATCAGTTTCCATTGCTTCAGGTGCTTTTTGAGTCTGAGTCTAAACGATAATATAAGTTTCTTTAGGAAATGATCATGATACCAAAAAATATATAAATCATGTCGTTCAAAAACTTACATCAAGTGGAGCTGCTTCCACTTCGAAAGTGTTCGCAGAACAGACCGAGAATATACCATTGGGATTGATTCGAACTTTCACCTTCACTTTTCTTGGTTCGTTGTTTGGCCCAGGTGTAACATTTTTAATGATCCATGAACCTTGAAAAAAAAGGATACATTTACAAATTATCACAGTAGTTACTTTACCCAGTGGAAAGCTAAACTTAAATAAAGTTTTAAGAAAAAAAAGCTTTATCGACAGAACAACGCCCAAACAGCTTTACACATACCCATATGTCGTATCGGATGTGGAATTTGATTAGGATATGAATAACTAGCATCAACTTGAAATGGTTCCTGTCGATAAAGCGTAAGCATTTTGGAAAAAGGAAATTCATCATGCTCAATAAATACATCATTCTCGCTGAAAGTAATTATCATATTGGGAAAATTTGGATAAATGTCAATAAGTGAAATTCTCAAAAATGCCGACATCTAATTTCGTCAACATAAATCACCAATAATTCAGATGAAGAAAAGACAATGATAATATTAAAGTAGAATTAGCCAATATTTTGTTCATACCCTCCTTCACTTTGTCCGATTGCTGCCCATGAAAGTTTGATTCTATATGGCTGACTATCTTTAACTGAAAAATCTCGAACTTTAAATGCTGGCGAAAGAATAGCACACTTCATCGCAGCACCTGCAATTAATGTACTTTGAAGAGACGAAAAAATTTATCAATAAGATTGACGTTTACCAATAATTATTAATTTCAAAGTTGACAACACTAAAAAAAACCTCGGTTGATCACTTTAACAAAGCGTTTATGGAATTTATTCAAGATGAATCAGAAATATTCTTTAAGAAGCACCTCGAGCTACAGCCTCATCCTGATTCATCGTAGTTTTCGGTTCTTTCCCGAACACTTCAGAAGTAATCTTTTTGATGGCTGGAATGCGAGATGTACCGCCGATCAATTCAACCGACTCCACTTCATCTGCTTTTTTTCCACATTCTTTAAGCAAATTTGTCAACAAAATACGCACGCGATCTAGAAGTGGCTGTGCGAGCTCTTCGAATTGCGAACTGAAACAAGGCGTTCCATGAAAGAAAAAATCTGCAACGAATTTAGGACAAAACTTGAAAACTCAACTTCATGGTAGGAATTAAGCTGAATCAAATTACCGTTGAATCTTTCCAGTGACATCGATATCGTTCATGAAACATTCAATATTCAGCGGTATAGCTGTACTATTTGTCGACATTTGCTTTTTAATCTTTTCGCATTCATCAAGAAGCCGGAACCATGCCCGTTTATTACTTGCAGCATCGATCTTAAGAAATTTAAAGAAATACTTAGCTTGAACCACTATTATCACCAGACTTTTCTATGTCACACGTCCGAGAATGGTGGAGACAAGAGGAATAAAACTAAAACGTATAGTTTAACTCGCAATTTTGTATTATCAGGCCATAAAAGTAAAGGGATAAATTAACCTTATAGGTATCATAAAACAGTTTGCTGAAGTAATCTCGTATCACATCATCAAAAGCCAAGCCACCAACTTCGAGATCAAATGTTGCACCAAGTACCTAAAAATCATATTGTATTAAGTACTAGTTTATATATTTATCATGCTTTTATCTTATACTCAAATCCAGAAATGTATGGGATTTTAAGATGATATGCAGAAACATCCTATATGAAAAAAAAATGTGATAAAAAAAAGTAGACCTGTCTCACGCAATCCTAGATCAGACAATTAAAGTACTGAAAAGGATTATTTACTAACAATCTCAGTTAGGTTCTTTCAGAAAAACAAGAAATGTTCAGAACTTACAGTGAGTTTGCCTTTGTTATATGCAACAAGGACAGCTTGCGCAGCAGAATGTCCTATGTCGATAAATGCTACAATCCGAGATGGTTCGTTTTCTGCCGGTAAATCCTGTTTATAAATACCTGCAATTAACAATTATAAAGAAAAATTGTATAGGAAGATGCCTGTAAATTTTAGTACTGCCTCGCGTTTAGCGCAACTTATTTCAATGCATAATATTTGTCGCCAAACAACTATGTTTCTGTAGCTAGATTTTCAGTAGTCTAAACCATTCGATTTATTAAAGATTAATATCAAACAGATCCTTCAAAAGTATAAGTCTTATTCCAAAACTCGTTGCAATCTACGAAAAGAAGTATGGTATGGGCGTCCAGATCCAATTTTCGAAAAAAGCAAGTACCAAACCTAAATACCCGAATTTCGACGACTATGTCACCTGTTCAATCATTGAAAACTAATTTAAAAAAGCTCAAAGATACCATATGCGAGAGCAACAGCTGTAGTTTCGTTGAGAATCTGTAAGCAATTTAAGCCTGCTATTCGGATGGCTGTCAGCAAAGCGCGCCGCTGAGTATCAGCAAAATAAAATGGAACCTGAATTTAATCGAATTTGATGGTGTAATAGATCTAGTGCTCTGATAATCTCACAGAAAAAAAGTGGAAAATCTTCAAATTTGAAATGCCTGTTGGATCTTCGCAATATGGAGAATATTACGGTCTGAACTGAAATGATTATTAAGCATCAAAAGTATTATTTATTGAATAAAGATTCGAGCTTTTAACAAAAAAAAAAAAACGTGCAGTAAAGGACGATTACCGAAACAACACAATCGGCAACATTCCTCATTGCGTGAGAACTGTTTTCCGTGATATCCTTCAATTTAACTAGAAATGTTGCTACCACTTGTTCTGGGGTAAAAACACGTTCTTCGTTAAAATATTGAACCTGAATATAAAATGCTCACGAACGGTAAAGGAAAAATCTAGAATGAATACATGGTTTGGAGATCCCAAAAACTTAAAAAAAGCAGTGTTGTCCGACAAAATATACCTTTAATCCAATATCATCGTTAGGTAACTGAATCATTTCACATGGTATAAACTTTCGGTATTTTTGGGTAACTTGGTCACTAAATTTTCGTCCCAAAAGATGTTTAAAATTGATAATGGTGTTTTTAATGTTCGTATTCAACTGCTGTCGAGCGGCAACACCCATCGAACGCCCTCGAGTTGTGAATGCTACACACGATCTAAAACAAACCATACACTAGTTGATATTCTTATTTAAGGAAAATCTCAGGACAGTAACTAATGTTATGCCAACTATATTACCATTATAGTTGGCGAGATATTAGTTACTCTGCTTTTACACTCTACAACCTAATTCATTTAAATAAATCGCGGAAAAAAAGGTATTTGTTTATCTTATTCAATAACTTATTTTATCTTAAAAAAACTTATTTTATTTTAAAATATGCTTATTTTACCTTATTCAAAAACTAACAAATTTATAAAAATTCATGCGGCAGGCTGCTTAACTATTCAGAAATTTCATTTTATAATGGTGCTGATCATCACAGCTGTAGTACTTGAAATGTATCATTGAATAAATGAAAATGATGGTGAATATTTTAATTTTTGCTAAAAAAATGCTTACGGAGTGGCTCTCAAAGAGTAATCATTGGCAATCGTTTCGATACCGCCTTGACGTGCCACAGCGATGAAACTGTTTATATTACCGAAATCGAAGCCTACTACAGACATTTCTTCTTGCCACTCGTAAACTAAAAGATCAATGACTAGAATACATTAATATGACGATTACACGTCTTGTACTGACTCGTGATAAAAATAGTACTACATCATAGAAACCACTAAATTGTAGTCAAAAAAGCAAAACTTAGGACTGAATAAATATATTCTTATGTATTACGGAAGATTGCGAAAAAAACGTGGTGTGAAACATGAGGGAATCCTTATATGTGGAACTTTCACAAGATCACGTAATCACATAGCTGTTAATAAATAATGTAATATTTCCCGCATTGTCATGAATAACTAACAATGAAAAAAATCAAGCAAACTATACCCTGACCTAAGGATGGATTGTTAATAAAATCGCGAAAAGAAGAAATATATTGTCACTTAAAATAATCAGAGGAAGGAAGCTTTACGAGGCGAAATATACGCCTCGTAAAGGTTTCCTTTCATTGTCAAATAGTATGGAATTTATTCAATATCAAATAGTACAAGTGCTACAATTTTAGTCATAGTTATTAGCGCTGCAGTTAAGAAAGTTGCAGATTATGATATTGGAACTGTTGAGTAACCAGTCGATAGAAGACAAAGAAATTATATCACAAATCGTAGTAAAAATAAAAATGAAAAAGTTCGACTATAATAATTACTGTTCAAAATACCAAGAAATAATGTCGAAAAAAGCTTTTTCTATAATTTTTAACAATGTTTATAAACAACTGCACTCAGTATGCCTTAAAACAAAATAATAAACATACCATCGACTATGTATATTTAATACCGTTCTTAATTTTAAGATTTTATCAATTTTTTTCAAGATGTCCAATTTGGGTTGTGTCGTAAAACTAAACCGTTGAAAGGAAAAGATGGAAAAGTCAAGAAACCTGAAGTCCACCAGAATTACATTATATTAAATATAATATCTGATAGTGATTCCAGCTAATCGCATTTCTTAACCCCTTAGTTTACAAGCAACATTAAATTTTAGTTTGTTCATTCCCAGTCGTCTCATAAAAATACTTGACATTTTAATTTTCGAATATCCGTAAAATGTCACATTTGCGCCATTTAGCTGACACCCTTCAGAATTCACATTTCAAAAGATAAGCATATTCTGCATGATGTTAAGGATGTCAGCTTGAGAGCTCTGAAACTTAAGAATTTATGTTCATGACATTACTGTATTTTTCAACCAATAAGAATGAAAACCGAAAAAGAGTGAAGTAATGAACGAGATGAATCATAAAAATCAAAGGGATACATGAATACATGACATGAAAAAAAATCTATTCTGAATGTGTGCGAATTTCTCTCTCTCTCTCTCCTGTGCAATCAGTACTGCAACTGCAAAAAAAAGAAATTTGCTTCTCAAAAGTGAAGTAAAAAATAAAGAGTTTCTTGAAATAAGTGATGGTCACATATATGAAAAAGCATTAACAAATTTGAGAGTGAAAATTAAAGCGATAAGTAAATGCTATATGGATTTAGATCTAAATTATGCAATATATAATAAATAATCCACGTATAACCAAATGAAATATACAAATACTGTACTATTCCATTGATATAAAAATAAACAAAGCATGTAAATATTTTAGTACATGGAAAATTTTACAAACTAATACGTACAAACGTACATATTAGTTTGTGAAATTTTAACCATGTAAGTAATACAAATTTTTTCCTGTCACTTTATTCAATTTCTTTTTCATTTACATAACATAACCAACATGCGAAAAGTACATTTATTTATCTATCAATTCTCAACAAATATCTGGAAAAATTAAAATTCATCTGCCTCTATAAAAACAAATCCGATTTCCCATTCAGTCTTATTCCTGAAATCATATGTGATAAAAGTACATTTTCCAATTTTTCCCTTTTTTTTTACAGTCACCGTCCGTAAAGCTAAATTTTTCAAATTATAAAAAGAAAAAGACAGACTGATGAATCACCATATCACGATTATCTTATGGATAATTACTTATCATGAATGATTGCTTCTTACCTATCCGTTCTCAGTCTAACAATCAAATCATTTCTACCTAACCGTTCATAAAATTATCAACATATGGAAAGCGTTAAGAATTAAACCGGTTGACTGATAGCAGCAGCATTCAGTTGTCACTCGATTGATTCCATCACAGAAAGTTCGAGAACATTCTCGTAGTTTGTTTGTAGTATTAACAGTCAAAGTGAGACAGATAAAGAGAGAAAAATGGGAGAAGAGAACGGGGAATGAGAAAAGAAGAGAGGGACAGAGAGAGAAATGAAAATAATAAGGAACGACGAGGAAGAGAAGAAGAGAAAGAATGTGTGTGCATGTCATGCAATATATTAGGCGCTGAAGAAATTTCCCGAACATACGGGATCATTATGCAAACCGTTCGTTTCGCTTTAATAGTTTTTTTTTTTTTTTTTTNTTTTGAGAATGAAAAGTTTATTTTTTCCCTTTTTTTTCGGCAAGTATGCTTCGACAGTTTTTTTTTTTCCTTTTAATTCATAAAATTTGTAACTGTGTTGAGAATTAGAATACAATCACTGTATACATATATAATACGGGAGATCAAAAATCATATCTATGATAGTATATATATATATGTCAGGAAAAATTCAAACTTAACAGTGATAATAATCTCTCTATTCCCAATAACGTATGAAACTATTTAACTATTTAAGGCCTTTCAATCGATCGAAAAAACAGCAATAAATATTGTATAGAGTAACAAATATCCACCCGCTTACATTCACGTCTCTATGTGCTATACGCCCATAAATTAAAATACACTGCAAAACGCCACGTACGTAGCGTAACGTTACGAAACAATCCGTTCGAACTTCACACGTGAAAAAAAAACACACTGGAACACTAACTGTTGCATGAAAACTTCATGTTTCTACCGGAATGTTCTCGAATGCATGATCTATTTTGGCAAAAGTTGTTTTCCGGTTGGAATCGGTCGTGCTTATCTGTTTGCTTATCATGTTATCCTTTCATATATTTCCAAGTTATCTGTCGACATAAATTGCTGCTTGTTAGGGTCATAGGGCAAGGATGTCTAACTTAAGAATACGAGTGAAAAAAAAAATAGATGAGGCGAAATTTTAGACAGCTACTAAGCCTGTTGGCCTCTCTTCTATAACAGGAATATGGAAAAAAATTTGGAGCATACAGATATTTGAAGAAAATATAATGAATAGACGGATAAAACAAGACCAAATTTACAGACACTAATGTAAGATACTGTTGTAAAAAATATTTGTTCATTAATTTCAGTAGAAAATTAAAGTAATAGAAGAGGAAATTTATCAAAGATATGAAAGACATACGTTACGTGCACACATAATTCGACGTGAAAGATATGCGGCACACATATACATGTGACGAGATAAATTAATCAAAAAATAAAAAAAAAATCGATCAGTGATAAAGAAAACGGAATATTGAATAGATATAATAATGCTATGGTTTATATCAGTTTATACATTTGTTATAACTCATATATGTTGTTCTTCTGTTTATTTGATCGGTTTTTTCTTTTTTTTTTTGAACTGTAGGAATGATAGAAAATGTTTGGAATATGTCGGGAAATTAGTTTGATAATTATTGATGAGTTTAAGATGATACAAAATATGATTGATTATGGCGTGAATTGAAATAGAAATGGATCACTTTTATGTAAATTTTATTTTTTCATCTTGTAACAGTATCTTTAATAGCGTAACAATATAGGTTTAAATGATGCAAATAAAAGAAATCAGCTGAAGTTAGCTTTGTGAGAAATCGTAATTCATGCCTTTTACTGTTTCTTCATTTTTTTTTGCAAAAATAGCGCTAAATTAATAGCGATTTGGGAGGTTATGCATACAGGATAAAATTGCACGTTATGTTTTTGTCAAATTTCGACCATTTAGTCAAATATATTGCGAACTGATTTGATTATTGGTTAATTTTTTTCAGCTTTGTTTCTCTTAATGTTTCCTAATAGATTCGAAAGCATTCATCACAAATTGATGTTTGTATATTAATTTGGAAATGAAGTATTATGATATAAAATATAATAATACATTATCTAAAGGTATGTTTTCAAAATATCATTTCATGAAGCACTTTTTTTTTCAAAGATTTTTTTCATCTTTTTTAGCTTTTTTTAGCTTTTCAAAGGTCAGCTTTTTTTTTTCAAAGATTTCCATTATATACACACTATATATAATAGGCTTACGGTGTTTCTGCTATTTTTTTTGACGTCTACTAAAACTGAACTTTCAGAGCGTGTAGAATGCCGAATTCGGTATTACAAACTGACCATGCAGAATGGTTACAAAAGGTTGAGCAAAGCTTAGATGTTATTGATATAATCGGAAGAAAACTAATTATTGGACGTTCAACATGCCGAAATCCTGGTTCCGAGCTTATTTTAATACAACTTGAGGTTTCCATTTCTGTTAACATCGTGTTTTTTTTTTATATGGCAATTTTTTTTTTTGAAATTTATGCAAATCTATGAGCATGAAAATAGTCATTTAAATTAGTAAATTTTCAATGAAATAAATCAATTATTGGCAGCATATTGACAAGAAATATTTTGATAGAAATAAAATTATAATTTTAGATTCGAAATATGTTTCCACATTTTGCTGTATTATGGTGTACATTTAATAGAGCATACCTGAGAGAAAATATTAAAAAGAAAGATAGATTTAGCCGGGCATTGATTTTCGTATGATTTATAGGAAATTCAGATAATAATCTGAACAAAAATACTTAATTTATGAAGAATATCAGAAAAACTTCATAAATAAAAAAATCATTCCAGGCAAAATTAATTCGATATGCTTCACAAGTGTGTTATTTAAATCAACGTTATCGGGGTACGAAATATCCATCTCTCAATGAGTGGTTAACATATGTCAACTTATTACCAACCGAAATTGTCGCTGTTCTAGAATGCTTGCAAACATTTTGTGTTTTAATTACTATGAACGACAAGCAGGTAAGGAAAGGTTTTATGTGCAGTCTTATTCATTTTTTGAAAAATAATCTTGTTAAAGATGGCTTATATGGTACTATATCATATAGTATTATAATTATTCCAATACTATGAAGACACATGGAAGACTTGAAATAGATTTGGCCACAAAACAAGTTTCAACTAAACTCGTTTTGTGACCAAATTTATTTCAAGTCTTCCATGCGTCTTCATAGTTTTGGAATATTTTGTAGGAGATTAATACATTGTCACTCTGCGGAATTCTACTTCTTTTACGTATCTTCGTAGTATAGTGCCGTTGTTTATGAAATTGAGTATTTAATTGTGATTGCGTAACGTGAAATAAATAAATTGATAAGACATTTCATTGTCTTTTTATTAATTGCAGCACTTTATTAATTTGGAAGAATGTTGAAGCATAAGTTATTTTATTGCTAAATTATGATAACCAATATTTCAGTGTATTTATTGCTAATTATAGCTTTTGGATATCAGCGAAAGACTTCGATTCACATCACATGGCCGTCGAAGATTGCGCAAATCATCCTATTCGTTGCGGAGTTATATTTCAAAATGGAAAGGTTACTTGTTGAAATTCTTTGATGTATAATATGATTCATTTGGGATGTGCTTTTTGTTGGCTCGTCTAATTTTGTTGAATATTTCATCATGTTACTTAGCTTATTTAAAAGAATACTAGGAAATCATATCCTTGAAAAACCAATTCCGTAATCTTTTTATGCTTGTTCAGATGGTTTAACTTTTTTGTAGAAGTCATAAAGCTTTTGTATTCATCGGGATTTCTTTTTATCTATTAATAGTAGAGTAATTTCCATATCTATTTTGATCTGTGAAAGACATTGAATTTCAGTATTAGTAAATGCTATCCTATTGACTTGGAAATAATTATTACTAATATTTACAGACGAAGGATATGAGCCAGTTCGTTCATTTAGTGATAGAGATTTATGCTGGATGAGTTTCGATCACTTAGCTCCCAATGACAGCAGGCCATTTCCATATGAAAACACTGCGGAGTCGAGTGCCAGTGATTCTGGCTCAGGTGAGAAACATTTGTTAATATCAGATGTACAACTGATACTTTTTTTCTTGTCGATCATTCAATTATTCAATTTTAGGTGTAGGGTCAAATTTGTCTCAATCGTCACTTCCAACAACAACACCGCCAGCAACCCCGAATGTTACGACAATCAATACGACACTTTCTAATACGCTTAATGTTTTCCCAAGGTTAAAACAGCGTTTTGTTTTAGCTTTCTTTATATTTACTAGTACTAGTATTATGCGCCGTAGTTGCTACTGTTGCAGTCTTATATTTTAAATATTTGATCATATACTTGCTAATTAATTATTGCTTGTGCAAATCAGTCTTCAAATCAGTGTCTGAAAATTTGGTTCTTACTTGCTTTCGTTACTTAAGAAAAATTTTTCAAGAATCCATGTGTTTATAGAAATATTGGTGAAAAGGCATCAATTCCCAATCGTCTGTCGACGACGAGCTTAGTATCAGATGGCTTGATGCGCTCACATTCTCATGAATCGAATCTTCAGTATACTGTTAATAACAGTAGAGGAAGTGGATTAACAAGGTACATAGGTATTTCTATGTATTAAAATCAAAAAATCTTACTATTAATGTTTCATAACCATGCAGAATATTAGATCATGACTCTGTCGTCATCTTATGCTACACTGCCAAGCGATAGTGCAGTTGTTTTACTTGATAATGTAGTATAATCTGTAACAAAGAACGGCAGTGAAATTTCAACCTTTTTTCATGGGTAATTTAAGATTGACTATTTTATATTGAATATATTACGTCTGTATGGGAAAGCGCCAATATTACTGTGTAGTAGGATCCTAAATCGTCATACTGAGACAAGACAAGTAAGCATGATTTTAATTACGATTAGTAGCGATGTTATTGTTGTTTTCAGTTCGCTTTCAATCAATGATTGTTTGTCGGTAGTAAATCGTGGAACAACTTTGAGCCCATCATCCTCCCATTTAAGCTATGTGAGCCAAGTAGCAAGTAAGTAGTTTTTTAAATGTGACTTATAATTTGAAGATTTCGAAATTCCGAATTGTGTTAGGATCAAAGTATAAGAAACTATAAGAAAAAAATATAAGAAAATTTTAGATACAATGCCTCGAACACCGAAGACTGCTCGCGCCAAGCATTCCATCCCTCATCAATGGCATCGACGAAAAGGTTTCCGTATTTCCACTGAAAATTGTCATTTCTGTCAACGACAGTTAAATTTCTTCAGCGAATATGAGAAATGTAAATCATGCAAGTAAGTTTTATGATATAAATTTCAATATTTGAGAAAAATCTGTTAGCTTTACCATTTTTCTTTTTATTCTGTTATAATACAATTGAGGATTAGAGTTATAACTTTGTAACACTTACTGTTTGAGAATAAAAATGAAATGAAAATGCATATAAGTTATAGATGGAAAGTACACCCGCACTGCAAAGAGAAAATAGGTGATTCATGCGGCCTTACTCCTGCTTATCTCAAACAAGCACTGAAAGAAATGTTCATGAAAGACACTGGAAATGTGAGTTTGCTTCTGAAGTAAGCAGACGTTAATCACAACCGTTTTATAGTACTCTTAATTTCACTGATATATTGTTTTTCAACCAAGACTTCTTGGATCCTGGTATATTTTTTTCCTCTGCAAGATGTTTGAATATCATGAACCTTTTCTTTTTCTTAGAATGTTATAAATATTTCTTCCAAGTTTAGAAATGGGATGCACATTTTATAGCATTCAACTTTTTGTAGGATGGTTGGACACCATCGGAATATAGCGTTGTACCACAGCAGGCATTTCTTTTTGATCCCGTAGATAGTTCATCAAGTACAAACAGTTCGGCACCTTCAACACCGGCTTTCCCAGCTATATATTCTGGTAATTTTTTTACTTTCTAATTGTATGGATTCATAATGGTGGGTGAACAGTATTGATCTGCTGATATAAACCATTTTTTCTCCACTCTAATTTGGGATTTGTGAAAGTTTTGAGTAATTGTAAATTTTGTAGCCACGCTTCCAACGTCTAGTCCTTTCTTATTACCGTCAGCACCTCCTTCATCATACAGAAGTAATTTCGACTTTCCGGAAGCAGTTCCTGAAGTGCCTGATATCATTGTAGAAGGTGGTGGCAGGTAAATTACTAATAATTGTGATTTTTTATAACATAAATAGATTTTATCTTGAAAATGCGAATTTTTTTCCTTAAGCACACGGTATGATTTCTAAATTAATTCATTAAGAAAAATCAATGCTAGAAAAAAGTCTGTCTAAAATCGGCAAATTATTTTGCAAATCAATGGATATAAAATTTAATTAAGTCTAGAATGATCATGTTCCTTTCTATATTTGTATCAAGCTATTAAGCTCATCACTCTCGAAAAGGGGATGAAATAGAGCTAGTGTGAAATTTTAAGAATTCTGATATATTTGCTTGTCCCTTAAATGATCTTGTGTGGCGTATTTTAGTGAACAGCATCGGTTAATTTCGTCTCAAGGTTCAGATTGTACTGTGAATTCTAGTGGAACCATCATTCTTGGTGGTTCAGATGGTTCGGAAGGTACTCTATTCATTGATTCAATGGGGAGCAGTGGCGGCAATTCTGATAATCGGGTGAGATCTCTATTTTCTTGCTCGCATCAGTTCAATTTTTTAAAGTAAACCTCGTACAGTATGAATTAAAAATTTGACATCATTTTCAGGAAGAATTGGATAGTTTAAAATTAAGTCCCAATTCTGCTTGCTCATTGAATCGAGACAGATGGAGTAATGGAACGATTAGGGTACCAAATAACTGGAATGATTTCACTATTCCTTTCAGTCAAATCGAATTTAAGAAACAAAGTTTGATTGGAAAAGGTCGTTTTGGAGAGGTACTTGATAACTGCCGTTTTTTTCCAATAATAAACGAAATATGATAACAAGACCATTAATAAATTTTGAACTTCTCACTCTTAAGTATAAATATGATCAATTTTTCAATTTTTTTTAGAGTAATATATTTACTCACATACCACATTATGTTATCTTTTTCTCATAAATAAAACAAGAGTTCAATTAGGGCTAACTACATAAAAGGCAGTCAGGGAAAATTTGTTTTGCAAGGTACATAAAGCAAACTGGTATGGTGATGTGGCAGTAAAACTGCTGAATATGGATCATGTGGATGAAGAAAAGCAATTAGAAGCCTTTAAGGTAATTTTTGTAATTTATGTAGCTTACACTCTTCAATTTGATTACAATTTAATGTTTGAAAGGGAATGCAGAAATAAGTAATTTAAAAGTTTTGTCCGATGTTTAACAGCGAGAATTTCCGAGAAACCTACAAAAACATAATACCTTTTAATTTAAGTTGGATTTTATTCAATGCTTTTTCTTTCTTTTTTTTTACAAAGATTCAATTTATTAGGCTTTTTAATGTTCTAAAGAAAATAAAACTTATCAAGATTTTGGATATTTTATATGGAAGATAATTTCTTGCAGGTGGAAGTTGCATCGTTCAAGAATACACGACATGATAATATAGTGCTCTTTTTGGGCTATACTTTTGATCAACATAAATTAGGTATTGTTATGCATTACTGTAAAGGTCGGCCGCTGCACCAATTACTTCATGACCATTACGAAAAATTCAATTTTACTGAAATCGTGCATTTTGCTACACAGATATGTCAGGTAAACCTCTAACTATTGAAATGAAATCAGTTGCAGCGACGTTTTTTCATTTCATTCGTTTTCTTGGCAGAAAAATGATGAAAATGGAACAATTGGAATTAATTTTTAAATTTTGCCTTGATGAAATTTCTAGTATATTCAGGGGGTATCTTACTTGCACACGAAAAGGATTATTCACAAAGATTTACGAACAAAAAATATCTTTGTTGAAAGTCGAAATCGTATCGTTCTCACTGATTTTGGTCTTTTTAATATGAAACGACTTGGTCAGCCGCACAGGTTATTTTATTCATTTGTTTGTTTGTTATGAATTTAAACTGAGTCCAAAAATCGGCTGATATTTTGAATAACTTTCTTATAAGTTTTTATTGACGCTCCAGATTGGATAATGCTAAAATTTGGGTTTTTGAGAGAACTTGCGATATATTAACATTTTCCAAAACATTGGAATTCTTTAGCATGAAACTTGAAATATAATCGGTTAACGATGTAATTAAAGCAATAAAGAAAAATGAGTCGGAGGTTGTTAAGGCATCATACACTGATTGTTCCGCAGTACTGGCTATCTTATATTGCTCCGGAGCTGATCAAAGCATTATCGGCTGATCTGATTCAGTTGCCATTCACCGAAAACAGTGATGTTTATGCGTTTGGGTATGTTTTGTGAAAAAATTTACGAATTCGGTCATTTTTCACTTGTAAAAATCTGCGTTGATAATACGCTTTCAGAACTATTTGGTATGAACTAACGACATATCGTTTTCCGCTCCGAGAGCTGCATCCAGATGTCATTATTTGGAAAGTTGGATGTGGCTTCAAAGCACCTCTGGACGATATATCTGGTCCTCGGGAAGTCAAGGTAATATAGATTGAGTTAAAGAAACGAATTAAAGTGTTTGAAAACTGTAATTTCCAGTATTTACTCACAGTCCTCTACAAATGTTCGAGAAAAATGGGAAGCTAGCATTTCAGGATATTCTAGTCCGATGTTGGAATTACTCACCAAAAGAAAGGCCAATATTCTGTGATATTTTGGGAATGTTGGAAAGACTTCCGAAAAAACGGCTCGGACGTAGTCCTTCATTTCCAGTCTCGCGAAGCTATGAATCTGTTTTTTAAATTATCATCAGCCAGATTGTATTCAATAATTTCTGTATATTTTCTATGCCTCTCTTTGCTCTCTTTGTTTCTGTCGGTCTTGTCGATATTGTTATACTGGTTATACTTTAAATTCTTTCACTTCAGGGACCTCTCCTAACATTCTGCTTCCATTTCCTCAACAATTACTTTCAAAATCAAAACTTATCGAAATTTTACGGTGAAGGAAAAGCTATGAGATGTTGCTAAGAATAAAGCTTGTCGACTCAAGAGAAGACATGCTCTCACTATATCTTGACCTATTGGTTCAATAAGTTTGACATCCTCCTTTAAGGAGGAAATAAGCATTGATGGTTAGTCATAGTTTAATGTCGACTAATTCCACGAATGCTATTGGTACATGTGATATTTTTCTGGTATTGCAGTGAGCAATGTTTACTGTTGATCATTGTGATATGGTTCCACAGTATCAGTATTATCATCTTCATTATCGTCATCTATTAAGGGTTGTACTTAAAAAAGATTTATTCTATCTTTTCATATATTATTATTTCATATTTATTACTGTTATTGTTACGTGCACTGGCTGCTACATACTTTACCTTGCATATTATTTCAATTTTGACGAACTTAATTAAAGCATAAAGGCACATATTTCCGATGTCTATCATAAACGGCATAAAAATTTCGGTCTAATGAAGAAAACTGAAAAAGCGAGACAAACTCATAACAATATTAGTTCAGTCCTTTTAAACTGTTTTTATAGGAAATAGTCTTATAAACTTGTAAAGATAGCAGCAACCAAACATCATATGAATATATCCGTTTATAAAGCTGTGCAAAATACCACGAACTAAACAAATCCCGCTAATAGGCAAAACGATTTCAGTCTGGAATGCAGCTTAATTTGGGAAACGTATTGTACAAATGATCAAACAACCTCAGTAACTACAATCAGGACAATAATGCCTTGAAAATGTGTATCGAAATAAGAATGCTAAGAGCGCCAATTTGAATTTTAAATGGAGATTTGTTTTTTCTCAAATTTTGTTTTGGGAAGGGGTTTTGTGCCAGTTGTAAAATTATACAACTTTTTTGTCGAGAGACGTATTAAAACTGATTCATGGGATGCTTATAACCGAAGTGAATAATCCCTCTGACAGGTTTACTCTGTTCTTCAACAATTTATAAATATATCGTTTTTTTTTCCCTTATCTTTATTGTTTATTGGGAACAGAAGTGTCTATAAATTTAGGCTTAAACCATGTTGGCCGTGGAATTCCTAGCTCAACAATTCGTTTTCTATTTCTTCGATCGATTGAAGCTTTTGTATTTTCATCATCTTGGTGTGCTTCGTTCGAGACAGGACGTGGATCATCCTCAAATTTAACGTTCGTTGACTGCTTTTCTCCAATATACGGATTGTAGGCCATAATTTTGGATTTCATAAAATTGGTTAATTTTTGCACTTTCTTATAACAGGTTGCTGCAATTTAATCAAAATGAAATTCTAATTTGATTTTTAAATCATCATTAATCCATTTTATAAAGGTATTGGACAACTCTGAATTAATTTCACTAGAATTAATTCTAAGAAAAATATTATAATTGAATTGAGTTTTTAACTTTTCTACATATTGCACTGTTTGAGCAAATGTTTTTCTAATTTTTAGCCTTCGTGTCCCAGCACTCCCATTTATAGGCATGATTTGTTAAAATGCAATGGTTTAAAAACCGAAAACATATATTAATAGGATGTTATCAAGTGATTCAAGAATGCCTGCAAGAAATTATACTTTAAAGATTTACTGAATTTTACTACAGGTATCAAATTTCTTCCTTCTTTACAAGAAAACATAAATGTTACCACATATTTTGTCGTAATCATGGTAACTGCCGCAAATCTGACATACTACAAGTTTCATTTTGAGCTCTAACGTTCTGTGTACATCAAATTTACGAGTTACTTTCTTTGCTGAAATCAAATAAAATTGATAAAATAGAAGTTGATCTTTTTCTGAAAGACTATGCTTTCTTATTAGAAAGAAAAATTGAATTATTAGATAAGCAGAATTTATTTTCTCATTTCAGTTCTGGAAATTTTTGAGCGGAAAAAAAGAAAATATGAATCAAAAACTAAATAACAACAAACCTTGACAAGTCCTAATTTTTGGAACACCCCAAGCAAATCTAAACTTCTCGACGATATCTTGAACATCCCATAATCGCTCAACACCATCATCATTTCGAGATGAAATATCACTGCAAAGGGCAAATGTCGGTTCTAATTTGTCGCCATATCGAATCAACGCACAGTATCGCGTAAGATATTGCTCGAAACGTTGCATAAACAGGCTAAATCAAAAAAAACAAAATATTACAAAAGCTTGCTAACTATAATAAATCGCCGAAAGAGTAAAATACATGCATGGAAAATCACAATATTAATGATTATAAGTATTAGTAAGAAGAAGGAAAATATAACCTCCAAAAATTAGTCAAATGCAAAAAATTCCATTAGGCTTTCCGGATGAAACTTTATCATTACTTTTCTACTAATAGCATCAGATCCTATAAAGCTATTGTTCCCTCTTGCCTTCGCTAATCTACATAGAAGTTTTTACGATTTTCGGTACCGGCACCCTCCTTCTTTACACTCATATCTTGAAAATAATTTAACGGAAACTCGATAATTCTGCATACCATGTTCAGCTCCCTTATTGCACATCTCACCTTACCTCTGCATTAACTCTCCCCTATAATATTGTGCATTGAAGACGACCTGAACTTGTTCAGATATAAGTTGTTGAAAACCAGCAATGTTAATAAACGTGATATCCCATATTGATTCATTCAAGTTTAAATTTTTATTCAATACGAATAAAAACAAGAATAATTTTTATTCAAAATTAAACGTTTATTTAAAAATCATCATCATCTTCCTCAGCCATTTCTTTCGCAAATTCCAATTCCTGAAAATATCACAAAGTTAATATATCACCCTACAAATTACTTCTGCAATATTCAAGCATTACAATTTACTAATAAGACGTGTATCACCTGCTGTTCACGCTCTCGTTGCTCCTCAATTGATTCAACTACACCTTTTCCAGCTGTTGGAGGGTAACGTAATGCTTTTACTGCTTGATTGTGCAATTCCAAACAATAACTAAAAAGATATAGTGAGTGAGTTATTAAAAGAAATGTTGAGCCATAATTCAAATATGCTCAAAAATTGTTGCTTAAAATGTTTAGTTTCACGAAACGAGTTGATTCCAAATTCAATTTTAAAAAAAAGTGCAATTTGAACAAGGAAATAATGATTGATGGAATAAATTACAATACCAGGAGAACTAGGAAAACGTTTTCTCAAGCTAGTTCGTATGGAACCAAGTTTAATACTCGACCAGAAAAGAAATCAAAATATAAATTTGAGATTCAAACATAATTCTAAATTTCTATTTGAAAATTACGAAAAAATCAGATTGTTCAGAAATTCGATGGTGAATGACTTCATGCTGAAACGATTAAACAGTAGTCTCTGAAACTTTTCAATTCCAAAAGTTTAGTTATTTACTCTAATCAACCACCAGTAGTTCCCTTACCGAATACGAGTATCAAAATGCGTTTGCGGTTCTGTAGTACGATAAATATCTTCCGTTTCCTTCGATTGCATATATCTGTTGGATGATTTCTGAGAATCAAATGTAATCACTGCTTCAATACCACCATCTTTGATTGCCTGTAATCATTCGTTAATGATATGAGCCACCTGAATTCTGTAATGAATTCCACAATAACTTAAGATTTCAAGAAAATTTTTCAAAAATATCAAACTTACTTTAGCTACCAAGTACTCGGCTTCCTGATCACTATTCAAAAGTAGCTTTTTGCAAATGTCTTTGATTGATATACAAGAATAAGCAGTACTAATCTGACGCAGTGCTGTTTTAATGACGTTCTGCCGAAGGCGGACAATCAACGTCAAAGTTTCATCAGGCCCGAAAACATGCTTTGCATGTTTGTTCAGTACTTTATTGAAAAACAGCAAATCACCCAAACGCACGGCTAGAAGAAAAATAAAAAGTATTTAACTTAAGAAATTTTGGTATTTTTGTGAAAAATTTGGACTATGTTTAGTCCATGACTGTGGTCATAATAATTTGAATCAATCTATTTCAAAACTTTTCCTACGACCATTCCAAGCAACAATTAAAATATGTTGAGATTTGCTATCAGAAATTCCCACTAGAACTTTTTAAAGAACGGAACATATTGAGATCCATAAGTGCATTCAACCCCAGGTTGTAAAGAAAAATCACCTTGGGTAAGTTCCAAATACGGTACTAGTGTTTTTCGATGAATTGGTACACGAAACACAGATCGTTCTGGGATTTCACCTTGTAATAAACTAATCACAACAATCCATTTTTGCACCTGTAAATCTTTGCTTGAAGAATCATCATCTTGGACATTCCGGAATAAGAAATTCAATAGAGCTCAAATAAGTTGAAAATACCTCACAATTTTTAACAATTTATAAAATTTTTTTAGTTCGGGCTTTTTGTTTTTCTAGTACTTATTTTATTTGCCTGGAAAAAATGTGTTCTTACATTTTGCTTAAAACCTATAGCAGAATCTTGCGGAGCTTTACGAATCGCCTGCATGAAATAACCAGCAGCAGCAGTATAATCCAACTGCATTGCTTTAATTCTGCCTTGATAATAAAGGAAACGTGCCAGATCATTATTCGACGCACCCTCCGGAAATGTTACCTTAAAGAAAAGCATCAATCTTTGGAATTCAGAAAGACCAAAACTCGAAAAAAATAAGAAAATATCATTCAGTAAAAAGATGCTATAACTTTTCATGTATAGTTTGTTCTTGCTTCAATAATCTTTATCACTTTATTTCTCTTTGATTATCATTCCATACGTCGACAACATCACATCTATCAACAACCTGTTCCCGAAACGAATGAAATAGTAAGCGAAAAAGTAAAAAATAGTAAAATCTAACCTTTGAAACAAGCATAGCTGCAGCCTCGTAATGTTTTCCAATCAAATAGGCACGTAAAAGACAAACAATTAACACTGCCTGTGAATCATATTGGCGACGAAGTGTTGCTGTTCGAAGACGACCATTTAGGTAACTGAAACCAACTATTTACTGCACATAGTAAAAAAAACCTACGGGAACCGACGAAATTTTAAATGTATATTTAAGAAACAGTCAGTAGATGATTCCTTTCCCATTCATATTTAAAAAATCCCTCATCAATACACAAATAATACTTATTCCTACATAAATCAAACTTCTTTCTAATATCAAACTTACGCTCTCAACTGGTCTAGTTTATTCTTTGTTTCATAAATGAGACACAAATAGAAGAATGCTTTCGCAGCAATGGAATCCAAAGAACGTTTTTCGTGATGGTCGATCCGTGCAATTAGCGCTTCCACACACTAAAAAACAAGGCTAATTTTGTTCCACTTATGAATTAGAAAAACGTATAAAATAAAAACTTTGAACAGAACAAAAAAAAAACACAGAAAAACGGAACCTTTTCCGCTTCTTCTAGTTTCTTTTGATCAACAAGATGAAGTAAGACAAGCAAGTGGATATACAACTCCACTTCCGGTGGTGGAGCAACACATGGCTGACCACCAGATCGTCTAGAAGGTCGTGGAGAACGTCCACATTTGCTTACATCCACTTCCATCTGAAATTTGTTAAAAGCTAGAAATTTCCATTATTTCTTATAACAACTAATCTACATAGAACATACATGTGTAAATTGAATATATGAATGTTTGCATACCGGTTGGACGATACCAGAAATACTTGGAGTAGTCGGAAGCCAAGATATGAGTTGATCCTTAATAAGCGGTAATGCCATCAACTGCGAAGTAATCAACTTTTTGAGCACATTTCCACTTAACTGTTTTCGAGTTTTATGCAAAAGTTGAATCATTCGTGGGAGTACATGCAATTCACCCTTTTCCAATTGTGAACACCATGCACGCAAATCTGAAATTCATTTCCCAATAAACATTAGATGCAATAATACAATAACTGTCAAGATCTAAGAAAAAAAAAAAAATAATCCGTTCAATCGTTTATAATAGCATGCTTTCTTATTTTTTGGATCTCGACTGATCAGTCATTTAATACAGCGTCCCATCCTCTTTTTTTTCTCATTTTTCCCATCCAATTAGCTGTCTAATAAAATAAAGTATTAACTTTCTAGGATAGCAGCATCGGAATCTTCCACTTTTGACATATCATCTTTCTCCTCTTCCTTTGCATCACCACTTTCTTCTTTCTCATCACTGGTATTCTCTTTTGATTCATCTATTTCCATCTTCGATACCATTTTTCCTAAGTGTTTCTTTTACTAAAAAAAAAAAAAATTTAATGCTGATCTAATGTAAATTTCATTTAAATGATGGAGGCATATGCAAAATACGCAATATTAAAGGATATCATAAATGAGAGAATAAAATGACGACAGTTTAACTGGCTAGAATTTAATCATGAAATCAGCGACGCTTATAAATTTCACATTTGTATACGACGTTTATAAATTACAGAATAATATAAAACAAAGAAAAAAACATTTTAAAAAAATAATGAAATAAATAGTAAAATAAAGTGAACAATCACGTGGAAGAGGTTTAACAAGAAAAAAAAAGACATATAGGCAATCACGTGGAAGTTTAACGAAACGATAAGGCAATATAAGTTTAAATTACAAAATAAGCATGCTACAGCAGCAAAATCTGTAGCGTGTTAATAATGAATATGTTAAAATAATTGCGTACCAGAAGTACAATAATTAATAGTAATAAGTAAAGATAGCAAAATCATCCAATTCATGAAATATATCAATTAGCTCGGCTTATTCGCGGAACTTATCAAACCTACCTAACACAATCAATCCAATCACCCCTTTAATTTTCATGCCTTTTTAAAAGCATTCGCTACACTGTCTCGTGACAGGCGAGCAGATGAAAGAAGAAATATAATGGAAAATAATGCAGGTGTAAGAAACGACTAAAAAAAAAATTGCAGTTGAAGTGAAAAGATTATGTTGAGATTGATTGCTAGAGTTCGAATTCGAATATTAACTTCTAACTCGAATTTTACCTTGAGTTAAAGTTTGAATTTCTAAATTACACCTAAATATTCACTAAATTTTAAGTTATATTTTATGAAATTGTTTAATGCATCATCCATGGAGTTGTTGTCAAAGTGTTACAGATTATATATCGGTTTCACTAAGGATTATGGGCAAACATAAGTGACGTGGAACATGTAACGTGTGTGATACGTGTATGCATTGAATTGATTAATTTTCGATGAATAGTTTTTTTTGGTTTCGTCTTCTTCATTGTCGTAAAACATTGATTGATCGGAATGTAATACCGTTGGCACGCTTCTTTTACAGTTCCAATCGATACACGCAGGTTATTTCAAGTGATATTTCTTAGCGATGCTTGTGATAACGGTATTAGAGCAGTATAATTGATGAATTTTCTTGAAATGAATAAATTTGAGGAAAAGATATTATTTTTTAATAACAATGTAATTAATTTATTCAATGTAAGAAGAAAAATATGAGTTAAATTGGCGAAGATTTTCATCAAATTCTTGAAGGAAAATGCTTATCTTGAAATGATTACTAAATTAAGTTTTATTATAAAATGATTTCTTTTTCGAGTTATCGAAATATGTTATACATGATAATCGTATATTATCACTTGAATTACCATTATAGAAGTGAAATGACATAAACCTATTGACATCTGAACTAATATGAAGAGAAATTTCAATAAATTTTACTGAAATGATAATTTAATAAATTTCTTCCATAGAAGGAATTGAGTTGAACTTGCAAGAAAAAAGAAGTTTGGTCGAAAATTGAGAAAAAAAAATGTTGCAATAGATTATTAATTTACTGACTTATTACGTGCGTGATTAATAGCGATTACGTGGAATGTGTTATACTTATGCATGTACGTATACTGAAGAAACTTTTTTTTTGGCAGGTGAAAAGTAGTCTCAATAAGAAATTGGATTATCGATTGAAACGTAAAGATCATTTCGAGAAAAAGAATCGCGAGCGCATATCTACCTATTTGTATAATATGGCTTCACCCGAAATTGAAAAGGTAATATTAATTAATAAATTAAGGATGTAAGCATTAACTTTATTAAAGAGAAAAGATATTAGCTCTGAATAGAGGAGATATCAGTTCACATAGTTCTGATTTGAATATTCAATTACAAAGTTTTGGGATGAAAGAAGGGATTGAACTGTTTAATAGCTTCTCATTTTACGTTTCTACCTTGCTTTACTCTGTTTCAGGAACTTGCACCACTTCGTGCGGCTGTTAAGGAATATGGTGATTTAATACGTTCTCTCAAGGAAAATGGTGCCTCGAAAACGGACGTTGATCGAGCAGTTGTCGAGCTAAAAGCTCGAAAGAAAAAACTGGAAGAGCGTGAACTTGCTTTGGTGCCAAAAAATGTTTCGTTTTTTGATCGATTGAAATTTGAGGATCTCTTGAAACAGCGTTTCTTTTATGATCAATCATTTGCCATCTATGGAGGTAAGTTAAGGATCAATTTATCGTTAGTAATTATAAGTCATGCAAGGATGGATTGATTTAAGATATCGGTATGATTTCTTTTTTTGCCTAATCTAAGCTATCATTTTATTTTTGCAGTTTCATGAAATCATACATTTAGGTGTAACCGGATTATATGATTTTGGTCCTATGGGATGTGCTATGAAAGCGAATATGATTAATCTTTGGAGAAATCATTTTGTTCTTGAGGAAAATATGCTTGAGGTGGATTGTTCGGTGCTGACTCCTGAAACTGTTCTAAAGTACGATTTGTTTTCTCTATATATGATATCGAATGTATAAATCACTCTATTTGCGTATTTTGTTTACTTCTCGATATTTCTTTATTCCATTTGTATTTCTGGTTATGGTTTTAATATTTCATTTAATAGCATTCATCATTTATTTTCCACATATCTTTACTAATAACGGTATTATCTGTTTTGCTATAGAGCATCGGGGCATGTTGATCGATTTTCGGACTGGATGGTGAAAGATTTGAAAACCGGTGAATGCTTTCGAGCTGATCATCTGATTAAAAATTTCGCCGAAAAAGTGTGCGAGGTAAGTGGAGACCATATTTTGATATTTCTGTCGATTCATTGATGAAATCTCTTTTCTGAAACTAATTTCATTTAATTGAATTCTTAGTTAAACTATCATTTTAAAATTGTGTAGGATATGAAGACACCGGCAAGTGTAAAAGAGGAACTAAAGGAAGTCTTGATGAAACTGGAAGGTTTCAGCGATGCGGACATGCATAGTGTCATCATGAAGGTATGATTTTTACTTAGTAATAATTGATATTTGCCTATGCTTAAGTTTAAGCAGGCAAGAATTTTTTTAGCACAACATCAAATCTCCAATAACAGGGAATGAATTGTCCGAACCGATTGCTTTTAACTTGATGTTTCCAACAGTAATAGGACCAACAGGCGATTTCAAAGCTTACTTACGACCAGAAACAGCGCAAGGCATCTTTGTCAATTTCAAACGACTATTAGAATTTAATCAGGTTTGTAATTTTTGAAATTTAGTTGTATTGGTTGATTGATCTTTTTATTCATGATTGTAGTATTGCGCTTCATTCACATTTCATATTTTTATTTCATAGAGCATCGTAATCTTATTGATGCTTTTTGAAATATTGTTAATTAAATTACTGAATAATTCATATTTAAAGGGGAAACTACCTTTTGCTGCGGCCCAGATTGGATCCGGTTTTCGAAACGAGATTTCACCGAGGCAAGGTTTGATAAGGTTACGTGAATTTACGATGTGTGAAATTGAACATTTTGTTGATCCGAGTGATAAAAGTCATAAAAGATTTGAACAAGTGAAAGATTATAACTTGATATTGTTCTCCGGCTGTAATCAAATGGATGGTGCACCGGCACAAAAAGTATCAATTGGAGATGCTGTTACTAAGGTATAGTTGATTTCAAATTAAATGTCAGTTATAATTTCTATATTATTCCAAAAAATAATATTATATTTTAATCAGTTAGTAGTAATAATCGCATTCGTTTCTTTTTTGTTCCATTTAAGTGGTCTGACCAAAGTGGATCATGTAGATGTTTTTAAAATAAGTTTACAGAAGTTGGTTGCAAATGAAACTCTTGGTTATTATATGGTTCGAGTTCACAAATATCTGCTACGTGTTGGAGTAGACCCGGACAGATTGCGATTTAGGCAGCATTTGGCTAATGAGATGGCTCATTACGCTTGTGTTAGTCATTCATTTATATCTATTCTAAAGTGCAAATTTATATTGACAATTTCAGCGGTGGTTTGATGAAATATTATATAGTTTTTTCATATTCCCATCTCCTATGACAATATGCTATGGTGTGATTGAAGTATTATCATGTTTTAATATTGGTGATATTGGGGAATGCAGGAAATAATTACTATCCATTTCAGTTAAGTGAAGGTGTAATCCATTTCAGTTAAATGAAAGTATAAGTTTAGTCTTTGAAATGCAAATAAGATTGCAAATTGAAATTAGTAGATTTATTAGTTACTTAGCTCATGAGTAAGAGAGAGCATTTGTTGACAAATTTTTAGGATTGCTGGGATGCTGAAATTTTGACATCATATGGATGGATTGAATGTGTTGGAGTAGCTGATCGTGCATGTTATGATCTATCACAACATTCGAAAGCTACCGGGGAAAAGCTTGTAGCTGAAAAAGTGCTCAGTGAGCCAAAAATTGTACAAGTGATTGAAGCAGTACCCAATAAGGCAGCGATTGGAAAAATTTACAAAACTGAAGCGAAACAGGTGACCATTGGTTTCATCTGGATGGTAAAATTTCATTTTCCTTTTTTGGAACCACTGACATTATGGACTGTTTATTAAAAAATAATGCAGCCTAAGATGCCAGAAAATTTTCCTTTTCATTATGTTGCAAATATCTTAAAATGATTCCAAAAATTTCTTACCTTTTATGTGTAGAAAATCTGAGTAAAATTATAATTAAGGTAATTAAAAAGCAGGTTTTTGTATGTAACAAACGATCTACATTTGTTAGGCTTTCAGATCTTTGCTAGGCTTGAACAACTCAGTCCAGAAGAAGTTGAGACGCTGGAAAAACAGATTGCTTCTGCTGGGTAATTAATTATAAATTTCTTTTGTTAGCTGATTTAGTACCTAGTAATTAGTAAATTATGAATGTGTTTGAATCATTCGAGCCTTTCCATTGCATGTGAATTTCTCGATTTATTTGTGGTGATCATTATATTAGGCAGTGAAATTTTCATCTAAAATCTTGCGTTCATTCCACATAATTGCAGAAATGCAAGACTTCAGTGTGGAGATAAAGAAGTGAAATTGCAAAAAAATTATATCACTGTTAAACGATACGAAAAGAAGGTTATATTTCCATAATACTAAATATTGATTTTTAATTGTGCTTTGTGAAAATGAGAATATTACCATTCAAGAATATCCACGTATTTTTTTCGTAGACAATCTGATAAGCCTTTTCCATTCCTTAATGAATCTTGAATTATTCGTTACTATTTTTTGAAATTGATAGAGAATGGAGGGAGAAACACAGCAAGAGAAGGAAGGTGAAAGAATTTGAATTTTCAATGAATGTAATATTTTTAAATATCATAGGTTCATACCGAGGAGTTCTATCCGTCTGTAATTGAGCCATCATTCGGTATCGGAAGGATCATGTATAGTGTTTTGGAGCATTCTTTTCGTCAAAGAGAAGGTGATGAACAAAGAGTGGTATGATTTTTAACTTTTAAAACTGAGGTTTCCTTACATACTTTAATATTTGCAAGTCTATTTCTTATGCTCGTTTGGAATTTTATTAATTTTTCTCTTCCAGTATTTTGCACTGCGACCAATTGTTGCTCCGATCAAATGCTCTGTATTGCCAATCTCAGCAAATCCACGTTTCGAACCAATTATGGCTGCTGTACGCACAGAATTAGCCAAATTTTTTGTAAGCTATAAACAAGTAAGGATTTTTGACATGTTATGATTTGTGAGCAGGTTAAAAGCATATCTTAATAGAGTATTAAACCATTTATTTAATATTTTACAAATAGTATTATTAAGGATGATAGCAGTGGATCACTTGGTCGACGTTATGCTAGAACGGATGCTATAGGCATACCATTTGGCATAACAGTTGATTTTGAATCGGAATCAGAACCATGGACTGTAACTTTGCGCTACTCAATTACAATGGAACAGATTCGACTGAAGGTTTTGGTGATACTTTATTATAATTTTTGGAGTAAATAGTAAATCACTATGAAATTCAACTTTCTTTCATATTTTCAACTCTCTCATAGTTTTACATATTTCCAAAAATTCAATATTTAAACAATATTTTGGAATGATACAAAAACGGCATATTTCAGGTAAGTGATGTTGGAAAAACGATTGCTGATTTATCATCTGAGAGAATGTCTTGGAGTGAAGCGCAACAAATTTATCCTAAATTTGAGCAGAAATCTGGCGCTTAATAATGGAAATGAAAATCATTTATGATTTGTACTTGGGAGTATAAAAACTAGTAGTGAACAAGGATCAAAACTAACTGGTTCTGCAAAAGTCTATTCAATCAATTTTGTGTTGTTTAAGTCATTACGTTGTTATATTTTGTTATATGCTACTCTTTCGAGCTTTGAAAAAAAGGAAATAAAAAGATAGAAAAATCGAGAAATACAAGAAATGCGACAACAATTGTTAATAATTAGTGGTAGTAGTCAGTTATCCAGGAAAAATAAAAGAGTGTATTATTTGGATCGATTCCATTAGCCGATGTGCATATTCGATATTTACGCTGGGAAAGTTGAATAGGAGTAGCATTGTTGAATTCCCTGGCTGATATTACATTGCAGGTAGATTTTGCTAGCCATTGTACCGTACCGTGATATTGATTGCTTTAACTATGAGTGGGATTTTTTCAGCTTTGCTTTAACATGTGGAATTTTTTCAGCTTTGCTTTCATTAATTTCAAAAACAGAGAAAATGTGTTGGTAGGGACATCAGCTATTAGTTAAGATAATACTTAAATTTACTGTTATGATTAAAGATTATATCAATAAGTGGGTAAAGTATATTGGACTTAATACTCCCTGTGATATTTATTTTAGACAAGTGAAAAAGAAGAGATAATATTTGCTTATCGATGTCGAATTTAATTAACTGGAAAGCCTAATTGTTTATTGTCTGGACCAATTTTGTATAGTCTGATGCTACCAACGGTTATAGCTGAAATTATCTTTTAAAATTTTCAAGAACATTAATTCAATTAAAGCATACATATGTAATACATATAATGTAGATTTTTGAAGATTTGGTCTATTAATCAGAATATTTACAGCAATTCCAACTAATGAATTTGTTTTATGATCAGATGAAAAAAGATATTTGAATTGGAAATAACTTTACACAATGATGTACTTGAAGAGGAAGGAAAATAAGATGATAGCTAATTATCAGGTAGCAATAATTAATTATCACTGGCGGAGCTAAAAGCTGATTCGGTATGAATTCCGGAAAATGAGGATGTTCGTTGAACATGAAGCGTTTGCTGTCGTCGATATAGAATAATTCCATAGCATACTATTAATGTTACTGTTGGCATTAAACCTAACATGATGAATAACATAATGTGAAAAAATGATGATGGACAAATGAATCTTGAATCTGTTGTATTCGGATTTGAATCTAAAATTTTAAATAATTAATGTTTACTAATTTAAATAACTGGTCAAATTTTAAATAGTTAATCAATTTCTGAAACTAATCAATAATATGGAGCTATAATAACATTGATTATATCATCACGGCAATATTACTGCATTAATAATCAATAGGTACATTTTTCTAAGCAATAAACAATAATCGTTTACCTATTTCTTAAAATAATAAGTAAAAGAAATACTGAGCACCATTTATGCTATCATATATATTTTATAAATTTACGTGTAAATTAATTATTTCTGTTTAATATATTATTAATTAATTAATTTTCTCATTTCTTTAAATTTCCATCAGCACACTAAAATAGATTTAATTTTTGAAAATTTAGATGATTAAAATCACAGCATAAAAACATTAAAATGATATCTGACGTATGTTAAAAAAAATTATTCATTTTTTTGAATAATTTACTTTGAATAATTTTATCATTTTTAGTGATAATTTTATTTTATTTTAAAATAATTTCATCATTTTCATTCCAGTACTGATAATTTTATTTGTTAAATTTTTGATAACTTACGAAATTTATCAGCATATATTTGTAGTGGTGGCCTCATTTCCAAAACTGTAAGTAATTTTACTACTTTTACTTCAGTTTCACGACGAAAACGTATCACTGATTTTGTTGTTTTTATTGTTTTCGCTATTGCCGTTGTTATTGTTGTTGTTGGTACTGCCATTGTTGTTGTTGTTGTTGTTGTTGTTATTTTTTCGATTATCATTGTTTTGTTTACTTCACATTGCTGCAAAAGAAAAAAAGGAAGAAAAAAATTGTTGCAACTGTCTGTACTTGTCAAATATATCATTGCAATGAAATAAGTATTTATGTATTTAGCACTCAGTTAATCCAAATAAGTAATACATTAGCATTAATAAAATTGTTAAATGATAATAGTGAAAGGATAGATTGTTTCCTATAAACTTCCAAATTTTTAAATATGCAGAAAAACAATTATAGCACTGAAATTTTCAATCTAAACTTTTTCAACTTTTAGAATTTAGTCTTTTTTTTTTCCTATTCTAATAAACTTTAAAATAGCATAAAAGAATTAGTTTGATTTCCATTTCAATCAATTGCGATATATTCATTTATGAGAAAATAACCTGTCGTTTACATGAACGTATACATGGTTTTGCTTGACATTCGAAATAAACAAATTGTGATGATGTAAATTGAAAACCATACATGTAAATGTAAACATGTTTCGGATTACCGTTACTTGGAGATGTCATATAAACCGGCAGTTCAATTGCACGCGGTAATGCTATTCCACATCTGTGAATTTAAAAGAAAAATTGATTAAAAAAAATAATTTCAAAAAAAAAGAAACGTGAATTACCACGTTTAGTATTCACGCGTGAGTTTAAAAAAATACTAAAAAATTAAAGACGGTTAAAAGTTAAATAGCATAATTAAATAAACTTTTAATCTAAAAAAAAA